TGACTGTGATGACTGGGTTGACTGAGATGACTAGGACTAGGCTTATCCCCTGCTAGACACCCCAGTCACAGAACAAAGTGTCTCATACCAGTTTAGAAGGTTAAAAAAAAAGCTTTTGATACCTGGAATGCCTGAAACCACTAATGGAACACTGCCATCCTCAGCTGTCTCTTTTGATGTTGTCCATTTAATCGTAGAAATGTTTTGATATCCAACTTGTGATGGGCAAGGAAATTTCCAAAACATTCCCAGATAGGAGGGGTTCTGTAAAATGGGCAGAAATGTAAGAGATAAATTACCCAAAAAAATATCAAAATGCCAAGTAGAAAGGAAGAATAATAAATTTCCTACCCACATGTATATATGGACGCCTTTTTTTGCAAACATTAATGTTTCCTCGCACATTAAATAAATACAGCCTTGATTTGATCTTTTTACTGACAAACCACAAACCCAAACAAACACCACAAATATTTCTGGAACATGTGTTGAAAGAAAAAAAAAGACAATTGGGCATGAGCAAAACTAAGCTGCAAGCAAAGATGCTAAACGAGTTTGTGGTTTTCTGGCAAACACACATGTCTTGATATTTGCTGTGATTGATCATAAGACAACAAACATTCCAGAAATATCTCACGTGTTCATGGTTTTGTCAGACTTTCACAGCAAAATTCATTCACGATGTTTACAAAAAGACTACAAAAGCCTGCCTGCAGTTATCAGTTAATAGGACTATGTGCTGTCCAATTTGGAAATAATTGGATGAATAAATATTCCAAGGGCAGCCAAAATAGTCAGAGGAATTTTTTAAATTCAATTATTTCCAAATTGAACAAGCTTGTAGTCCTTTTATTTATTATAGCTGGTTAGTTAAACCAAACTTTCATCAGTTTGGTCTTATGCACATTGTCCTTTAAAATGGCCCAGACAAGAAGCCAAAACAAAACATTAGCAAATCAAAACAACATTCACAGATACAAGAAGCCAAAAGTGTTCACCGGAAAACTGCCATCAGCCAACAAGACATTTCTTGGCGTGTAGTCACAGTGACTTTGCGCTAATTGGCTAGTTTGCATTGCCTACTGTTTTTTCTAGCATTTGATTGGCTCCCAAGACCACCTGTCCTATTTTTCTTAAATTGGACAGTTTGCCTATTAAATTTGTGAAGGAAAGTCCCATCTGAAACTATCCCAGTTCGTAAAAATTAAATAATAATTGCTTTGCTGACAATATCAGATTTAAAACTAACAGCTATATAATAAATAATAATAATAATTAAAATTTGAATGAAGGTTAGTGCTAACTTGGGGGTTAAATTAATTTTTAAATCTGGTTTTCTTTCTTGACATTTTCTCTGATAATTTTCTCAGTCTATTTTTGAAGTATCCAATCATCAAAATAATTAGAAAATTAAGGCTTTCGTACAGCTGCGTCTTCCTAGTCATTGTAGTCATCCTAGACACCCTAGTGATCATGGTCATACTACTCATCCAAGTCATCCTCATCACCCTAGTCATCCTAGTCATCCCAATCATTCTAGTCATCATAGTTATTCCAGCCATCACTGTCATCCCAGTGACCCTAGACATCATAGTTATCCCCGTCAACCCAGTCATCCTCGTCATCTTAGTCATCCTTGTCACCCTAGTCATAATAGTCATCCTAGTCTTGTTAGTCATCTTAGTTACCCCAATCATTCAAGTGATCACACTCACTACAGACATCAGAGTGACCCAGTCATCCTAGTCACCCCAGTCATCCTAAAAATCCTTGTCAGCCCAGTCATCCTAGTCACATCAGTCATCCTGGTAGCTACCCGACTCATCCTAGTTATCCAAGTCATACCACTCACACTCATCAACCAAGTCACCCACTGGTACTAGTCACCCCTCCCATTCCAATTACACTGTAACATCATCATGTCAGTTCCCTTGTCATCATAGCCATCCTAATCATCTTTAAATCAACCTATTCATTCTTCTCACCCTAGTGACCCTAATCACCATAATCACCCTAATCATCCTAGTCACCCTAGTTATCCCGATCATTCAATACATCACAGTCACTCCAGCTATCCCAGTCACCACAGACAACCCAGTCATCCTCGTCACCCCAGTCATCCTACTCATCCTAGTCATCCTAGTCATCCTCGCCACCCAGTCATCCTAGTCAACCCAGTCCTCCTGTCATCCTGGTCACCCCAGTCCTCCTAGTCACCCTATTCATTCTAATCATCCTAGTCAACCCAGTCACCCTGTCATCCTAGTCGTCCTTGTGACCCCAGGCATCCTAGTCACCCCAGTCATCCTAGTCATCCTGTCATCCTGTAATCCTAGTCACCACAGTCATCATAGTCAGCCCAGTCATCCTACTTATCCTAGTCACCCTCGTCATCCTACTGACCCTAGTTATCCTAGTCAACCCATTCATCCTGTCATCCTAGTCAACCCAGTCATCCTGTCATCCTAGTCACCCCAGTCATCCTAGTCACCCTAGTCATTCTAGTCATCCTAGTCAACCCAGTCATCCTGTCATCCTAGTCACCCTAGTCATCCTCGTCACCCCAGACATCCTCGTCACCTCAACCTAGTCTTACTTGTCATCTTAGTCATCCTAGCAATTGTGGTCACCCCAGTTATCCTAGTCATCCTAGTCACCCAAGCCATACTACAGCTGTATAGTACATGTAGTCACCCTAGCCATCCTAGTCATTTTACCGTATTTCAGTTAACCCAATCAGCCTAGCCATCTGTTCACCCAAGATATCTTAATCAAGCCAGTCATCCTAGTTATCCTGGTCACCCCAGTCATCCTAGTCATTTAAATCATCCTTTACATCCTAGTCATCTTAGTCACACTAGGCACTGAGAGATCCCAGTCATCCCAGTTACCCATGTCATCCCCATAGTTATTTTAGTTATCCTGGTCATTCTAGTCTTTCCAGTCATCTTAGTTCTCTCGGATATATTAATTTGCTTTTCTTTATCAGAATATATTTTTTATTGTACTCGCCCTAGTTGTTCAAAAGCTGGATATAGAGCTATCCATTGGATAAACCACTATCCAGTCGATAAATATTAGGGAAATCAATTGCATTATTCAGTGGATAGAGATACATACATTTTATCTAGTGGATAACACTAAACAAAATAGAGAAATGCACCCGTTAATTATTTGTTCCCTGTGAAAAATTGACATTTATTTGATAAGATTTCTGGCAAATTTCACGGTATTTTGTGTGCTTCTGTGAATTTTGCAGGATTTTGCAGATTTACCTGAATTTTCACAGCTCTGCAACAGTGCAAAATATCAGAAGCCCTGTCTTTTGAACTTTATAGCAACTAACAATAATCTCACAATTCTACAAACAGTGCAGAAACAATGAGTCTAGGTTACCATTGTTTCAAGTGTTGGAATAGGCCACTGCAAAAAAATACCATAATATTGTCAAAATTGTCCATTAGGTAGTACTTACTCTTCAAACTAACAACTGTCAGCAACTAATTAAGCATCTAATCTGTTGATCCATTACACTTCAGACTTACGACTGCAACCAAACAAAAAAAACATTAAAACAATTGTAAATTAAGAAGTCACAGCCATGTGTAAACTACAAAGAGATTAAAATAGAGGGGGTTAGTTGAAGAATAGAATAAGGGAAATGACTGGTCAGGTAAAGTCTGGAATTTTGCCACAACAGTTCAATCCAAACCACCACTAAAAGCTGGTGTATACAGTTTGTACAAGAAGTCTAAATAGAAGTTTAAGAGACTTGTTGGGTCTTTAGATCTGTTTAGAAAGTATAGTTAATATATAACTGGCTCTCTGCATGTACTGTAGACAGAAAGACTTATTGATGCTATCAATAACAAACAATCTTTGGAGTCGAGGATTGGAGAAATTTAAAAGACTTGCATGTAGCAAGGTTTTGTCAAACACTGTCTAAAATCTGTTTTAATAACTGAGCCTTAGAAGTAACTGAGGAGTTTGTCCGTTCTTTCTAACATTCACAAATGGTTAGACGTTCCAGTAAATCTCAGATGAAGATAAAAACTGTAGGCCCCAGGCAGTAACAACCACTTCAACCAAACTGACTATTTTTGAGCAAAAAAAGAGCAATTCACTGGCAGACTAGATACCTTGGCCTCCAGCAGTGACCAGCCCTGGACCCAGTTGTTAAAAAGGTGGATAGTGCTATCCACTGGATAACTTTCTATCCACTGGATAGCATAATTGGTTTCCTTGACATTTATTCACTGGATAGCAATTTATCCGCTGGGTAGTGGTAGTGCTATCCAATGTTTGAACAACTGAGGCCTGGTGTTTATCTTTCCATAACTAAGAAATGGGTATGAAGGGGAGAGCACCTCTCCTGACACCTAAGAGTCTTAACCCCCATTTTCAATTCCACTGGGCAGGTCTGTGCCCAGAAAAAACTAGCAAATAAAGGAAGAAGGAGAGAGGAAGGGGAGCCATTAGAAGGGAAAAAATTGCATTGTGTGGTTCCAAACGTTATCCATACCTCCCCCATGGAAGGAATTTTCCTTTAGATCCCTCCACCTCTCTGGAAATTCCAGTCAAGCTTCATTCATTTAATTTTTGGGCCTTTGATAACCCCCCACCACCAGGAATTTCCAGTCCCTTCTGTGGGGGAAGTATGGATATTTTCTGGAACCACACATTGTGGTCCCTAAAAAAAGGTTTAAAAAAGGTTTAATCCTTTAAGTGCCGAGAGTGACCAACATCAATTTTCTATTATTACTGGGTTACAAAAATTATTAAAATCATCACTTTTAAAGTGAAAATGCTATGATCTTAAATCAAATTCTCTCAACAAGTTTTTCAAGGAAGTTTATAGAGATCAGTGTGGAGAATTTTAATGTCGATAATGTTGGGGCTTAAAGGGTTAAAGGCTTGTTTATAGTGGAAAGTGCACTTAGTATATCCAGCTAGTTTACAGGCCCACTGTTCTCAAATACTTAGAAACAAATAATTCAAAATATAACATAACAGGATTCAAATTTCAACTGGCAGAAGGCACCCAGTTGGCGAATTACAAGGGTGGCCAAGGATTTGCACTAGGGAAGACCGAGAACAAATCCAGCAAGTGGCCAGAGCAATACTCGAACCCCGGGCTGCTGGATCTCAAGTCTGACACATTGACCACTCGGCCAGGCTGCCTCCTGATAGGGGTAAAAGGATGAAGGCCATGCAAGAATGGAGGAAAAATAAACCACACTGTAGCTTGCCATTTCTGCCTGCACTAGCTGCATTCAGAGATTCTAACCCTCTTGATTTGATTTGTTGTCTCCTACTCTCCCGATTTTTATCAGATTCTACCTATTTATCATTAACCTCTGAAAACAAGGGGAAAAATTGCTTATCTTAAGTATTTTTTTTGTGATCTAAGTGTAAAATGTTGCGTATTACTCTTTCCTTTCCTATAATGTCTTGTCCAGTCTCTCCATTGAACACTGCATTTTCTGCAGACTCATAAGGCCAGCAGTCTATACAGAAGGTTTAGAGTGTCTGTGAAAAAAGTACTGAGCATAACAGAGCCCATGCCAGTGTTGTCTTCCACTGAATGCAATCACATTTTTGTCTGCCTCATGCACATTACGTTTATAATGATTTTCAAGTGGCCATGGTGTAAAAGCAGTAAAAGAAATATCTCTGTTTCTGAACATTGGTTTAACAACAGCAAAGAAAAGCCCAAAGACATCTGTGATAATAATAAAGACCTTACAGAATACCACAAAAATGATGTGAAAATGAAGGAACTGCCACTTGAGAGAAACTAATTTAAAATTTCATGGTTTCTTGGGGGGACCATACCCCCAGACCTCACTAGAGGCTTGCACCTTAGGAACTTCTGTGAGTGCCTTTGGCGCTAAAAAATACTCCTAATTTTCCTTCAAAAGGGGTTGCAATCTCTGTACATGTAAGCTTAATTAGGCACGTGACTTTAAAAAAAATTCAAATTATAACAAAAGACATTTTCTTTGTCCACCCCTCCCTGGCTGACCCCTCTTCATCCAAGCCATTCTGACAGCAGCTGAGTTAACATTCTTATCTAAGCCACTACTATGTAGTTTCCTTTACTCTAAAATTGCACTGTAAGCTTATGTTAAACCGTCACATCTTACCTGTACTATGATCAAAACTCTCCATGGACGTGCAAGATCAGTGCTTTGTCACTAAGGACGTAAGCCTTCCTGTTCCAAAGAAAGTACTTTCTTTTTATCTCATTTAAATGATCCAGAAAATAATAGGTCAGTGAGGTAAAAGACCAAGCTGCGTTCTGGCAGAATCCGTGCTTTCATTTGAAGTTAGTTGGGCAAGGGCGCCATCATAAGGCGCCATCTTGGTTTCCCCTGGTCCCCAAGCTCCACTCGGTAAAAACTTAGGGAGATTTGCAGAAACAATGAGTCTAGGTTACCATTGTTTCAAGTGTTGGAATAGGCCACTGCAAAAAAATACCATAATATTGTCAAAATTGTCCATTAGGTAGTACTTACTCTTCAAACTAACAACTGCCAGCAACTAATTAAGCATCTAATCTGTTGATCCATTACACTTCAGACTTACGACTGCAACCAAACAAAAAAAAACATTAAAACAACTGAGATTACAATTACAAAGAGATTAAAATAGAGGGGGGTAGTTGAAGAATGGAATAAGGGAAATGACTGGTCAGGTAAAGTCCTGAATTTCGCCACAATAGTACAAGTCATGTTAAAGGGTGAAATCTCCTGGCCAAACCAACACTAAAAGCTGGTGTATACAGTTTGTACAAGAAGTCTAAATAGAAGTTTAAGAGACTTGTTGGGTCTTTAGATCTGTTTAGAAAGTATAGTTATTATATAACTGGCTCTCTGCATGTACTGTAGACAGAAAGCCTTGTTGATGCTATAAATAGCAAACAATCCTTGGAGTTGAGGATTGGAGAAATTTAAAAGACTTGCATGTAGCAAGGTTTTGTCAAACACTGTCTAAAATCTGTTTTAATAACTGGGCCTTAGAAGTAACTGGGGAGTTGGTCCGTTCTTTCTAACATTCACAAATGGTTAGACGTTCTAGTCAATCTCAGATGAAGATAAAAACTGTAGGCCCCAGGCAGTAACAAGGACTTCAACTAAACTGACTCTTTTTTAGCAAAAAAAGAGCAATTCACTGGCAGACTAGATACCTTGGCCTCCAGCAGTGACCAGCCCTGGTCCCAGTTGTTAAAAAGGTGGATAGTGCTATCCACTCGATAACTTTCTATCCACTGGTTCTAATGGTTTCCCTAACATTTATCCACTGGATAGCAATTTATCCGCTGGGTAGTGGTAGTGCCATCCAATGTTTGAACAACTGGGGCCTGGTGTTTATCTTTCCACAACTAAGAAATGGGTACGAAGGGGAGAGCACCTCACCTGACACCTAAGAATCTTAACCCCCATTTTCATTTCCATTGGGCAGGTCTGTGCCCAGAAAAACTAGCAAATAAAGGAAGAAGGAGAGAGGAAGGGGAGCCATCAGAAGGAAAAAAATTACATTATGTGGTTCCAAAATTTTCCTTCCCTCCCCCATGCAAGGGATTTTTCCTTAGACTCCCCACCTCTCTGGAAATTCCAGTCAAGCTTCACACATTTACTTAAAATTTTTGGGCCTTTAAGAATCCCCCACCCCCAGGAATTTCCAGTCCTTCTGTGGGGGAAGAATGGATATTTTCTGGAACTACACATTGTGGTCACTAAAAAAAGGTTTAAAAAGGGTTTAATCCTTTAAGTCCCGAGAGTGACCATCATTAATTTTCTATTATTAGTACACTGTACATACATGTAATCAGGACACTGGGTTACAAAAATTAATAAAATCATCACTTAAGTGAAAATGCTATGATCTTAAATCAAATTCTCTCAACAAATTTTTCAAGGAAATGTATAGAGCTCAGTGTGGAGAATTTTAATGTCGATAATATTGGGGCTTAAAGGGTTAAAGGCTTGTTTATAGTGGAAACTGCACCTAGCTTATCCAGCTAGTTTACAGGCCAACTCTTCTCAAATACTTAGAAACAAATCATTCAAAATATAACATAACAGGATTCAAAATTTCAACCGGCAGGAGGTACCCAGTTGGCAATTTACAAGGGTGGCCGAGGATTTGTACTAGCGATGACCAAGAACAAATCCAGCAAGTGGCCAGAGCAATACTCAAACCCGGTGCTGCCGGATCTCGAGTCTGACGCGCTGACCACTCGGCCAGGCTGCCTCCTGATAGGGGTAAAAGAATGAAGGGCATGCAAAAAAAGAGGAAAAATAAACACACTGTAGCAATGCCATTTCTGCCTGCACTAGCTGCATTTAGAGATTCCAACCCTCTTGATTTGATTTGTTGGCTCCTGCTCTCCCGATTTTTATCAGATTCTATCTATTTACCATTAACCTCTGAAAACAAGGGAAAAAATTGCTTATCTTAACCATTGTTTTTGCGATCTAAGTGCAAAATGTTGCATATTACAATTTTCTTTCCTATAATGTCTCGTCCAGTCTCTCCATTGAACACTGCGTTTTCTGCGGACTCATAAGGCCAGCAGTCTATACAGAAGGTTTAGAGTGTCTGCGAAAAAAGTACTGAGTATAACAGAGCCCATGCCAGTGTTGCCTTCCACTGAATGCAATTACATTTTTGTCTGCCTCGTGTACATTACGTTTATAATGATTGTCAAGTGGCCATGGAGTAAAAGCAGTAAAAGAAATCTCTCTGTTTCTGAACATTGGTTTAACAACAGCAAAGAAAAGCCCAAAGACATCTGTGATAATAATAAAGACCCAACAGAATACCACAAAAATTATGTGGAAATGAAGGAACTGCCACTTGAGAGAAACTAATTTAAAATTTCATGGTTTCTTGGGGGGACCATACCCCAAGACCTCACTAGAGGCTTGCACCTTAGGAACTTCTGTGAGTGCCTTTGGCGCTAAAAAATACTCCCAATTTTCCTTCAAGAGGGGTTGCAATCTCTGTACATGTAAGCTTAATTGGGCACGTGACTTAAAAAAAAATTTAAATTATAACAAAAGACATTTTCTTTGTCCACCCCTCCCTGGCTGACCCCTCTTCATCCAAGCCATTCTGACAGTAGCTGAGTTAACATTCTTATCTAAGCCACTACTATGTAGTTTCCTTTGCTCTAAAATTGCACTGTAAGCTTAAACCGTCATATCTTACCTGTACAGCTATGATCAAAACTCTCCATGGACGTGCAAGATCAGTGGTTTGTCACTAAGGACGTAAGCCTTCTTGTTCCAAAGAAAGTTCTTTCTTTTTATCTCATTTAAATGATCCAGAAGCTAATAGGTCACTGAGCATTTTCTGGTTCGACGCAAGACCGTCTTAGGCACGAAAGTAAACTTCAATCAACCCGTTCCCGCGGTAGTATTCCGCGGTAGAACCAAAGGGGACCAGGGGTTCGAGGTGAGCCATTTTTGAATCCCTCTAGTTGGGGGAGGGGTGAGGTTTACCAAGAAAGAGGCCCTGCCAGGGTAAATTCCGACAAGCGACATGGCCCAAAAAGTAGCGACAGCGCGTAAAATGAAATCGCGACAAGAGATAACCTCCCTCGGCCAAATTGCGTCAGTGACCGCAAAGCCGACAATAAGCGACAAGCATTTATAAACACCGACGCGACGTTTTAAAAGTCAGACGGGCGACATGGGACCCCCCCTGGCAGGGCCTCAAGAAAAAGCGATCAGTTTTAGAGACATGCAAAAGCCTCCTTTTCAGGCGACTAACCGAATTTAAATGTTCTATTTTTTTTTTCCGCATCCCATATAGCGATGTTGCTACACAGGCACCCCATGCCCAAACGCGTGGTAGAATCTATGGAAAACCCATGCATTTCATGTTGAAAAATTGCTTACTTAACGATTTATAGGTCTCATATTGGAAAGTGCGCAAACCTTCATTAGTTCTTTTATATAATCAATGGATAAGACAGGATCATCGCAAACCAACCTTAATGGTTGGAAAAACAACACAAGAACAAAACATAGCAAAATACAGCAACACCAAACGCAAACGCGCAACATTCAACAGAAAAAACAGGAGGATATAGTACCACTATAGAATAGGGTGTTGTCCCTGTGCCTAGCTACTAACGAAAGGTGTACATTTTATAATTCCGTGCGCGATGTAGGCCAGGCAAACCTTTTTTTATATATCCTTTTAAATAAAGGATATAATATTTGTAAATTGGTTAAATAAAATTAATGATTTTGAGTTGGGGGACAGCAAATGGTTCATCCAGTAAGTGTCATTTTTTTTTTTAGTTAACCGTTAGTTAACCGTATAGTCTAAGACTGATCCGTTTGCTTTGTTTTTCTCTTTTTTATTGTTCGTCTCCTCATCTAATCCGAAAGTTCTAGGCTCCAGGAAGCCTGGCATCTTTTTTTCTGGCTAGCCCTCAGCTGAAACCTAATCCATTACATATTCCTTATTCTCACTGTTTCCATGTAATGTTTCAAGCAGAGACTCAGTCCAGTGTCAGTCGACTAGCCTTGATTCTGTCTCACTAAGTGCATGCGACTATCGCACTCGACCAGTATACTTCATGACTTTTTCGACTATCCACACGCGCACAATTCTCGCTTACGACGTCCTCATGTGTCGTAAGGATGTCGTGGGTCTAATTTACACGGAACGATCTGAAGTGAAGTCATGACGTATGCCAGTCGCGCACGATAGTCGTATTGGTAATGGTAACAGGACTGAGTGGAGTCTAATAGACCTTTTTACCGATACGGCGGCCATTTTGAATTAATTCGATTTAAGGGGTATTATAGGATGCCCAGTGGGCATGAGCACATTTCGTTTGTATTTTCGAACGCTTTTCGCGACATTTTTTCTTAAAGTTTTCTTAGAATAAGATTCTAATGGGAAAAAAGATCCTTGTGCCGTGTTTGGATGAAATAATGATCGCCTTTTTCCAGAGAAATAAACAGTGAAAGTCCATATTTCTAATACTAAACTAGAAAAAGGTGATGATTATTACATCCAAACACGGCACATGGATCACCCAAAAACATTCCTAATGAAGAGGGGGGTCACTAAATACTGCGCGAGCTAACAGTTTGAATTTACCTGTTTATTATTGTATTTTAATCGGTAACACCATGCATGGTGAAAAATTTTACTGTATTATAAAAGTATAACTATACAAGTTTATTTAAAACAAAACAATGCTAATAGTATTCTAATCTTATACACTAATCGTACCTCACGATCAGCTCAAAAAAAATTACAATATGTATGACGCATATTATCACAAGAAGTCTTATGTCTTTATGGAATGATTTCCTTTTAGTGTCACGTATATATATTTTTTTATTTATTCTATGAACCAAGATGACTGCCTCTACAATGATTAAATGAACAATGTGAGTTTCATTTTTAAATGATTTATAAGATCCCGAAAAAACCCCCTATCTACCATAGGAAGATGTTGAGGAGTGGCAGTTTCCCAGAATTCTTTACTGATCTCTTAAAAAGACATAGGGACAAAGACAGGAAAGAAGAAGAATTATTATATGTTACTAAGCTGCCTAGACTGTTCTAAACGCCTGGAACCGACAAGCAACCAGAGAGGAAAGTAGACTATGGCTGATTTAGCAACAGAACGGGAAAGTCAGTTGACGACGACGCGCGTAAATTAAACAACTGGCTTAACCAGGCGTTCAGAACTGTCTAGGCAGCTTAATAAATGTAACATACAATAATTTGTCTCTTTATATACAAAAAGGATAAGTATTTTCTCTAACCTTTAAGTATCCTTGTTTTGAATACCACTTTAAAAAACTGATTTGGTGGGAAATCATGCCACATATGAAAAAAAAAGCTACGAAGCGGAAAGGTACCTCTTGTGGTCTTGTAAACAGTTGGAAAGAGCAGTCATCTTTCGTATTGATGAGGCACACAAAAACAAACTAGACAAACAAGATCTTTTGCCCCCCTTTTAAAAGCATTTACAACGAACAAGAAACGACGCTGTAGAGTACGATTTCTTGTAAATAGCAGTGAATTGAGTGATTATCACTTGACTGATGTCTTGACATTTGTGGCGGAACAATCAATTCAGAAAGTAAAAAGCATCAAAGACTCTTTTGCGCTCCATAAGTCTCCGTAGAAATGACATCTCTTCCAGCAATGTTTTTTAAAAGAAAGTTATCAACGAGCTCTATCTAATCAATAAAAAATGTCGGAAAGTTATTGATTTTTATTATGGATGATACCTTTTAACCCTCGGACGTACAAGGGAGCGGGGGTGGTTGTCACCCCTAGACATAGAACATCACCACCTGAAGTTTTCTGTAGCAGCTCGTTTATCCCCAGCGCGCATTTTGAGAAAAGTTTGGTGATGGTCAGTTACTATGGTTACGAGATATATATGAAGTCATAAGTAGCAGGTGGTAAACCCATTTTTGAGTGAAAATGCATGTTTTTTCAACTTCTCTCAGGAATAAAAGTAAAGCTTGTTGATAAAATGATACAAAGTAAACATTTAAGTTTATTTCACCTGTTAAGCGCAGAAAATTATCAATTCTCACTGTTTTTACCTGAGTTCTAATTCCACCACCCATAAAATATACCTCATGTTGTTGAGAAGATCAAAGGTTTTCCACTGAAGGCAATTATTATTGTTTCGAAATACTGCAACATATAAAAAACTCAAAAGGGGGTTCAATCAACCTTCCCCCTCCCCTTGTACCACGGTGGGGATATGGCTTTGCGTATACGTCCGAGGGTTAAAAGATGCTAAAAAAGCTACCAGTACTGACTACTAACACGAACAACAAAGTAACAGAGTAGACGCCCTAATGACAATCAACGGCGGTCGACAAACTTGATCTTAACCGGTTGATCTGGAACGGTAAGCAGCTTCTGGCGCAAAACCAGTGGCTCGTGATGATACTCTAGGTGAAACTTCTGAAGTAACTGCAGAAAAGAGAAATGACGAATAAGAGGCATTGATATATTAGAAAATAACACTTTCGTTTCAGCCTGCGAACGCTGCAGACGTATCCTGTGTCGCTTCTCTCTACCCAAAAAGTAACTTTGATGGTGGAAAGAAGCAACGACCGGAAGTATGTCTGTGTTCGCAGGCTAAACTTTTTTGTAAAATGAGGAACCAGTTGTTCGAAGGCCAATTAACGCTTAACCCAAGGTTAAATTTAACCCAGGTTTCTTTTTCTTTAGTGTTAAAAAGCTCTTTTTGGGACTTTTTTCTCTGTTATTTTTAAGAGCATCCAAAAATCAACTTGTTGACAGAAGAATTAAACTGAATTTGCCTTTTAAGCTTTCATATCTGAATTCAAATTTCGTTCTAACCCTGGGTTATCTTAACCAAGTTTGAACAACCCAGCCCGAAACTCTGGGATCATTATACATTTAAGGGAAACTATCCATCCACCCCTCCCCTAAGCCAACATTTACATTTACCTCTCACTTAGGGCAACATGTTGGCTTATGGAAGTGGTAGGTGGGCAGTTACAGTCACAACCGACTTATGTATCATAGTTTGTCTGTGTTTATGCGCATGTCATCATGTGACCAAGAAACGACGGGCTCTGGGGACGAGAATGGGCCAATCAGGGAAATATGTTGGGGAAAACAAAGGGATGGATTGGGTTCTCTGTCCCTGGGGAAGGGAATACTGAACACATTGTCGTAACTTCAGACGAAATAGGAAAGGGGAATTCAAAATTTTGGTCTTTATTTTAGCCTGCGAACCGCAGACGTATTTCCGGTCTTTTCTCTCTCCCTCCCGGAGAGAGAGAAGCGACGACCGGAAATACGTCTGCAGTTCGCCGGCTATCTTTGTTTACGATCATGCGCAAACAAATTGCATACAGACTGTCATAAAAATTTCCCTCAATAAAATGAATCCAAGTTATATGAGGAAGATATCAGGACAGGATTTTCCATTGAGAAGCACCTGAACCAGGGGACTTTTGCCTTGTTAAATTCCCCCATCCCTTGGGTCCTACCCGCGAGGGAAGTCCATGACATGTGCATTACTCCTTCCCCCCTTCGTCAGTGATAGGAAATACATGATTGATCAGAATTGGAGTGAACGTGAATGCTTCACCAAATGTGACGACTATTGTAGCTTGTACTAAATTCTAATCGACAAAGTCGTGTCAGCGGAATCAGAATGTTTTCACTAGAACGTGACTCTCCTTTCCTCGCAACGCGACTGGCGAAACAATTCTCTAAAGAAG